GGGCATTCTTTTCATTAGCGCCAACGACTCCTCAATTGTTTGCGGCAACGGCTCGTCGGTCGGCATAATGTCGCCGAATATGTGTAACGAATAATTGGTTTGTTTGCTGTCCTGACCGCTCCCGTAAGCACCGCTCGCTTTGCCGCTTATATTAGCGGAAAACCTTTTTAACTCACCCTGGAGGGTAATAAATATATAAATTTAGTTTGTATTAAATATTGGAAAATTATATTTTAATATTATACTGTATTAAGTATATTAATTATTAAATATTTTAAATAATAGCAGTAATTAATAAAGTAAAATATGGAAAAAGTCACTATTATAATATTTAATTATAATTACAAAAGCACTATCCTTATCATAATCACTTTCTTAAAATTATTTTAATTACCATGCTTAACTCCTTGTTCTAGTCATTTCCCTTGTATTGGTCAGATTAATATTTAAAAATGTTATTCCAAAATTGCGTTTAATCAAAATCAAAATTACCTGGATGGCGCCTTCGATCTCCTTAACATCCTTATTCTCGCTGTTGCTGTACTCCATAGTGATCATAGAGTTGGCGCCCCAATCGACGCCCACCACCACATGGGTGGCAGCGGTGGCCTGGAGGGCGTCCAACGCGAAACACTCAGCGAGTTCGTCGCTAAATAGGTTCAGTCTCTCGGCTTTGGTCTGAATGTTATACAAGAGGGACGAGCGAACGGCTCGGGCGCTCTTTTTGGTGTCCGCCAAATACCTGCCGCTCCCCTCCAACTGGAACAGTCCGGCTAATATACTCACCTTAAGGTCGGCCTTTATCTCTAATTTGTCAAATTTGTCCGAAAAGGTGTCGGCGTGTATGTATTGGAGGTCGATGGAGGGGTTGTCCTGTATGGTGACGGCGCCGCTCTTTTCTGGTGCTATTTTGAGAGCCGAAATGGCGCAGAATGTGTCCGTCCGGGCGTCGTATAACTCGCCCAATGATGCCATTTGTCCGATGGCTGTTCGGATCAATATGTTTTTATTCTGGTCCATGTTTGATAGCGTTTTGATGAACTATTACTGATATTAACTGTATGAATTTAAATATAAAATTAAGAGATATAAATTAAATATATGTTTAAATATAACAAAACCGGACATCTAAGAAATATAAAAGTATCAGACACATTCTATGAACAACTTTTATAATTTATCTGAGTCAGAGTTGAAAGTTCGGGTTTGTTATATTTGAACATAAGATTATATTCAAAATAAGATTCAAAAAGTAAAATTATTGACGAATACAAAAATTAAGCTAATTTTAATTGATTTCTTAAATAATATTTGAGATCTCATTAATTTAAATAGACAGACTACAAATTATAAAAGTAAATTATAAAAATCTGCGTATAAAAATACTAAAATTAATATTATAATTATAATTAATTCTAAAATTGTTCAAAATATATAAAGTACTTACATACCAAAGTTTTAACATAAACCAGACATTGCAGTAATCATATCAGATATGAATAGTTTGAATTAAAATAATTTTATTTTGCAAACATTTAGCAGTTATTTGTAATTCAATACATATTTATTTTTGTTATGACTGAATATTTCATCTAACATTTAGATATGATATTTAACATTATAATATAATGTTAAATATCATATCTAAATGTTAGATGAAATATTCAGTCATAACAAAAATAAATATGTATTGAATTACAAATAACTGCTAAATGTTTGCAAAATAAAATTATTTTAATTCAAACTATTCATATCTGATATGATTACTGCAATGTCTGGTATTACAATAATGCATATGTTTAGCAATATGTATACACAATAGATATTATATAGTATTATTTATCTATTTTAAAATAAAATTATAGATTAATTCACATAATATAACATATAAAATGTTTGAATAGACTATAAATCAGTAACTTAATTGTGTGAATAGTCGGAGACTATTTGCAATAATAATAAATAATATAGACTATTAAATAAAATGCTAATGTTTAATGATAATTTGTCAATATCTGTCACAAAAATATAAAATATTTTAAAGATTTGCACGCAAAATATTTTGTAATATTTTATAGTTTCATCGTTTATAAACTCTCTAAATTATATAGATGCCATAAATAACTTTAGTAATAAAATCAATACCTGTATACAATATTTAGGTATGATATATCAGTGGATAGAAAATCATTTGAATGTGAAGTATAGGTTTAAAGATAAAAAGTTTATTAAGTTGTACTTATGTAGCATACTCATACTTGTTATCAATACTCATAATCAATCTTTTTTAGCTTTAAACCTATATACTTCACATTCAAAGGGGTTTCTATCACTGATATGCATTAATACTTTTCGTTGAAGTTCTCCCAAAACCCCAATCCATGTATTATTTGGTAATTTTTGAGCCCAAATATTGTTACAATATTTAACTTTATACGTAAAGTTCCACATTTTGGCTATTGTCTCAAATATTTTTACGTCAATACCCCCGGTCAATTCATACTCATTGCGAGTTTTGTTAAACTTTAATAATTGAAATGGTGGTTGCTATTAATATTCACAAAACAAATAAGTTTACTCATAATTATTGTGAACATATAAATATCTCTTACCATATTCGCTGCAATAGTTAATTGTTTTCCTTGGAAATCAAGCATGGCTATATTTTACGGTAATATTTATTATAAAAAATAAATTAAAATTTTATATAAATTTTATTATACTTTGTATATTAATAAATTTTTAAAATATTTTTTATCAAATAATATTTTGCAATAATGTTATTAAAGTAATGCATAAAATTTTCCATTCAACTTATGTTTGAATATTTTTAAAATTAAATTCCTAAAATCAATAACAATATTGTTTGCACTATTTAATGAATATAATTATACATGTTTTGAAAAGTTGATTAATATTATTATATAATAATATATTGTTTACAACATATTGCATTGACAGTAAATATGTTACATAGACTATAATTAAAACTTTTATATATAAAGGATTTCTTGTTTTATATTTAAATATAAAGTACCAGTATTTTGCTATTTAAGAACTATATAAAATATTTAATTAATATTCATAATACAAAAATAAATAAATGAAAATTTTGAAAATATAAATAAATATTTTTCTGCATTGAAATAATAAATAAACAAATGTTAATTTTAAAAATTTTATTTACATTATTGTTATTTGTTATAAATATTATTAATTTTTAATTAATAAGTAGTATTAATACAAATTAAATAAATGTACGTAATATTCTAATATAAACATTATAATCGTAAATATAAGCAAATACATTTTAATATTAAAAATAAATTTTAAATTATTGTATTTAATTTCAGTATAGTCCATATCTTGCTTTAAATTATTTATTAATTGACTATTATGCATGTTTAATTGTCGCACCCATTGATATAACAAATTAGCCTCGTTAATATGTAATATGCTAATATAAAAAATATTCAAAATTATTTTTGGATCTATATTATTAAAAATAAATAATTAATTTAATACATACACCTTGTTGAAACTATTTATGTTAATAACAGATGAATTCTTAGGAAATGCATATGCTACATTATTTATTGCAAATGTAGAATCAGCATGATCATTTAACACATAATGATCAGTAATATTATATCGTATAAGATTGTATACCAGCACAATTCTATCATGTATAATTGAGTACTTTTTCTCCTTGTTCAATAGATAATTAAACGCATGATCTGGATCGACTTTCAAATAGTTGATTGTCATATTTTTATTCGCTCGGTTAATTGAATCCTAGTGATATTTTGTAAAAATATATAAGATTAAAGTTAAAATAAAATATCTGGGAGGCCAGAATGAGACGTACCTCTGAAAAGTTGCTTTTATTTATTCTTGAAACATTCATTTTGTGTAAAGTTTAAAATTTATAAGGTTTAATATAAGTAAATTTCAAACTTTACATAAAAGCAATGTTTCAAGAAGAAATAAAAGCAACTTTTCAGAGGTACGTCTCATTCTGGCCTCCCAGATATTATACATGAAACATTAATTTTTAAAGGAATTTATTGTAATAAATATTTGATAAATGAAGAATTAAATAACAATTTTATAATGATACATAAATAAATTTTTTAATTTCATATTTTCTTGCGTAACTCAGATAACTCCTGATGCAGTCTGAGTGATAGGTTTTTGTACGACTCCAGGGTCTTTCGCTGGTCATCGGTGAGCTGATCGATATACTGGTGCTCGTAGTCAATCATGTCCTGGATCTATTTGTTCAAAATATTAAATTTTAAAAACTTGTCAATATATACTTTGTAACACTAAACTGTATTTATTATACCTCGATAATCCTGTCAATCATCTGGTCCACTTGTTCCAGGTGCTGTTGTCGGCGCTCCGGGTGATCTTGAATATCCTTCTCAACAGCGGTCATACCTTTCTGTATGTCCGTACAGGTTGTCGTCACTTCAGCGATAAAGGGATTCCAATCGTACGGTCCATTCTTGGGACTGGAGGGTCGGCCACAGACTGTCAACAATTATTTTATTAGTTTTGAGTTTATATTTATGTTTTCATTCATATGTATTTGGGATAATATAAATTTATACAATACTGTATAGTAGAATTCATTATTTTATTATATAATTGTTTATAAATACTCACCAAGGACAAATGTAGCACAGGTAAGAGCAATAATAATGAATGATTTCATTTTGGTAAATAATTTGAAAAGTCACTTTTTATTAACAATTACTAATAAATATTTAAATAATTTTTGCTTAATTTATATATACTATTTATATTGCTTTTGTATGTGTTTTATAATGAGAATTTTGAGTCTGGTACATTATCAGCTGCAGGGATTATTATGAATTCAGATAATAATTATATAAATAGGGCTGGCTTAAATCTCAGGGAGTTCAAGCATAAATATAAATTATCTAATTAAATAAATGTATTATAAATTGCTTTAATATGTTGTTTGCTATTTAATAACCTCCCTAAAATAGGCAAACCCTTACCCTTTTATTACAATTACCTTAAGAAATTTAATAATACATGTAAATACGTAGATTAATTTTTTAAAATAATCATTAAATAACTTTAGTGATAATCAGTTATTTATTTCAAAGTTTATACATTTATTATGAAATTATTATAAATATCCGGAAAATTGTGTAATGATATCAAATGCTTACTATATGACAATATTATTTCATTATGTTATGCAATTGAGTTTATTTGTAAAAATTAAATTATATAGTTAGGTATTAAATTTATTAAATGTACTTATAGTATATCAAAGTATTTTATAAATTTTATATTTACTTATTAATAATTTACATTTTGCCCATTTGTGTGAGTATCACAATATAATTGAGTAGAAAACAAAATATCTGAAAATTTAAAAAAAATAAGTTTTAATTTATTATTAACAAATCATTTTGTAATCAAATTAAACTCTCACTTACAGCGAGTAATGTATTTTTATTATACGATATGTAACCACCGATAGTAAAGCCAACTCTCGTAGTCAGTGCCTGTGATTTAAGGGACAGGTAGTTTCTGAACTCCGTATCGCTCATACTTGTATGCGAGACATCCAGATCGTCCAGTTTATGAAAAAACACCTCCGTACTTTTGTGAGCCATACCATGGATTAGGCATTGGCTGACTATGCATACCGTTGAGTATATGATTGCTCCTATCATTAATGACTCAATTACCTGATCACTGATTGCAATGATATAGATGTATATCATTATTGTTGCGATATTAAACGCACATTCAATTTGGCTTATGGCTTGTATAGCAAATGTTTCATCAAGCTTTTTGATTGTATTATTTATCTTGTTGAATGTGTGCCTGATGGTTGATATTTTGTAATTATACGTATTAATATAGTTGTGTGAGTTATCTATTAGACCAATAAGTTTATTGTTGAGATTATTAATGGATTCAGTTATTGAGAGCGATATTCCTAATAAAATATGTTTTTAAATTTTAAATTAAAACTTATTTAATAATTATTTGCAATTATATTATATTTATTTACTAGTATG